TACATTTATAAGCCCAAGGACTGTCTTCTGATTAATCTGATACTATATTTCTGAATAGTAATTTGGCTGATTTGTTTTTGACAAATAGTTCTATTCAAATAGCTCTGCATTCTAACCCAACTGCCCACAGCATAAGTCTTTCTCTGGGATCTCTGTTTTAATCCAGTCATCTGTCTATCCTGTATCAATACCACACTTAACATTTTAATAAACTTAAGGTATCTGATAATACAAGATCTTCCTTGTCATATCTTATCGGACTGTCATGATAACTTTTGGACAAATATTCCCTTTACTGTCAACATTAGAATCCCTTTATCAAGTTATCCCAAACATCCTGTTGAGATTTTTACTGGAGTTACTATATACCTCCTCTGTATGTACTTAGGAAAAAGTTGCTAACTTGGTGGTATTTATTTTTACTCCATGAATACAGCCCATCTTCCTTCATTTACGTATTCTTTTAAGGCCTTTATATCCTATTATATTTTTTCCTTAAGGGTTGTGCATATTTCATTAGTTTCATTTTTTACTTAATAGGTTTTGTGGCTATATATAAAGAAAACTTATTTGAAATTAGGTAATCTAATTCAATATTGCTCAAACAGGAATGTTACCAATTTTTCAGAAAATTCACTGAACTGTTATTTCTCATATTTTTGTCTGTTACTTATAAATAATCATGTTGTTTGCAAATAAATTTCCTTCCTTCCCTATTAAACTAACACTGAACTGAGGCCTACCAACTGATAAGTACCTATGTTTAAAATGTTTTACTTTGAGATAACAAAGCTCTCTATATTAAAGTACATGACAGACATCAACTAAGGAGTTCTTTTAAAACCCTTATATGTATTACTCAAATCTCTACACTTCAGAAAACTAGCATTGGTAAAATGCCTACTGAAAATGACACACTAGGCTAGTAAACCTTTTACTTAATCTTCACCTCAAGGCAAATTAAGTGAGGAACTGAGTCTCAGAAAGGTTAAGTGACTTGGCAAAGTGATCGAAGGGGTACAGCTGGGATTCAAATCCCAAGTCTGCACTAGTTCCAAATTCATGCCTTTTCATCATAGTATACTGTCAGGGAGTTTACAAAAGCAGTCAAGCATACACCTTAAACATCCTATACATGGATATTTTGGTTCACCCTGCTCTCAAGGCTAGTAATAACATATACAGGAAATAGCATCAGTGTAACAGCAGCAATCCTTTTAGAAAGAAAATTTTCATTACTTCAAACTCATTCATTATGAATCCTAGTATCTCAGATTCAACAATGGAACAGCTGATACAATTAGCAATTGCAGTAATTCTTTTTTGTAGAGCCAGTAAATTTCCAACACAACTGGTTTCAAAAACCTGTTCACCTGGTTTTTTCTTCACCTTCTCAGATATTACTCCTTTTCTATCTTACTAGTGTTACTAGTAGATATAAAAAGGGTTAAAAAAAATTGCCAAATGATTATTTTAAATACCTACCTTTATTGAACAGGTAGAATAACATTCCAATTATCAGTGATATACCAGGAGTTTTATATATATAGGACAAAGGAAATCAGTTTAATTAAGCACAAGCTAAAGATTTAGGTTATCCAGGTAACAGACAAGTATCTTGAATAGATAGAAAGGTGTCAAGAACTGGTAAGTCCAAGGCTTTTCTAAAGTATAGGGAAACTGGCTGTTTAACACTCTCGAAGAAATGGTTACACCCTGTTAATGATTAATAATTGGAATATAGTAGGATTACTTTATTTTATATTACACTTACATATATTTGTATATCCCACAAATCCCCTTCAAAAACTGAAAAACTCTTATAACTTCCACATCGTTGACAATGAATGAGGAATAAAAAGATTTGATCCTATGTAAGTATTAGAAAGTTTTTTTTCCACTGAGAATTATCTTTCCTTACATTCTTTGCTATCCTAACTCCTTGTAACTGTTCATAGTTTTTTCGAAGATTATCAAATTAGATGTCTAAAAGCAAGTCAAGTCTACCTTCTCAAAAAAGGTACACTACTGAAACAAGTTTACCTATCAAGTTCCCTTTCTGCCATGAAACCATTTTTTTGGAAAATTCTGCTCACCCTGCGCTCCACAAATTTACATTCTACCAGAAACACATACAAATTAATACTTAAATTTTTTAATCTCTTCATTCCCAAGGGAAAAAAAGCACATGAAAGGTCAGAAAATGAAGAGATTACATTTGCAAGACTGGCAAATAGCATAATAGGTTCATTTACTTGACTTGAAAAAACATACAAAGCAGGAAGAAAAATATTCAGTAGCTGATGGAACATGCAGCACAAGAACTGAGTAAATGCTTACCAGGGAAATGCTTAATATGCATTATAAAAATAAAAAACTTGAGTATATCTATAAGTTATTACTGTCAGAACTTTAAGAGATCTTTGTAACACCTCTGAAAGAACCTCATCTTCAGTATGGCATCATGAATCTCAAATAGTAACAAGCAATAAAGAAGTCCAAATGTTAAACAAATTAATCAAATATCTTACCAGCAGTAACCAACAAAACTAAGAACCCAAATTAAATCGAGATTTACGGCAGTTACTTTCAGCTGTCTGTATACAATGACAGGTGAAGCAATTACTCACATCATCCAGGTGTAAATGCTTAAGATTTCCCTGAGTTTGCATACTTCAAATTAAAAAATTGCAAAGTAATCTTCCATGTCTCAAAGTTACATTACCACAATTTCTAGAGAGGAAGAAAAATAAGCATCATCTCTGCATTTTTTTGTATATACTTTTATTATTAATGCTATTTGTTCATCTTCCTTGAGCCAAAGTATTAGCACTACTGGGTCTGATTTCTTTCCATTAAAAGCTAACAGAGCATCTTAATAATTAGTTATGTTGATATTGTATGCGCACAGGTATGTAACTCTCCAAAGACTAGTCTTTTCTTGTTAAGACATACACATAACAAGCAATGTTAATCGTTTGGCTTGTTACAGTTCACTGTAACTTTGAGATTCAAAGTCAAATAAAAAGTAGGTACAGAAATTTCCTAATAGTTATTCTACATTGGGATAAAATATATACATGCAACTATTTTATTAAAAAGTGATGAAGTATCTATAAATTGACATTTCCTCCCCTCATTTCTATCTGTAGGTTTGAATTAGAAAAAATATTTCCGAACTGCCACAAAGAACAAACCCACTACATTTTAAGGTTAGTAATTCAAAAATCTATCACTTTGCCCATAGTAACAGAAAAATAGTGTGTAAAGCAAGTAAAAGTTTTAATGGTTAAGTACAGCCTTATCAAGAACACACAGTACTTGGTAGCACTGGATTCATGGCACAGGTACTGATTAGCTATCTCTTGTTTTTCCACAAAAAGCAAAATGGCTTGATTTTTTCTCTCTATCCAAGAATATTATTAGCTTTAAAGTTTTATCAAAGTAGCTGAGACTGTTAGTTGTTTCATTATCAAAACTTGTAGGCAAAGGATTTAATGCTTGCAAAGCCGCAAGATTTTGCCCCAATAATCTGTCATCTCAGTCCTTTTTCTGGAATATAAATCTAAAGATAAGAGAGACTTACAAAAAATGCCACATATGTTCAAAGCACTCAACAATCAGCAAAATACCAATTTCATCAATAAAATGCACATTACATATTTTACATCTTTTAAAAATCAATGGGATCTCAAGCATTGTCGTATTTTAATTGGCAGCAATTTTTTTTTTAGTGATACACAAAATGATGCTCCAGTAAATGGCTACTTAGATTTTCATGAAATGTGGCCAACTTCGATTCTCAGAATTAAAGTTTTTAACACAGAAAGAAAGCCCTGTATCTCACTTCACAGATGAAGAAAATTAAAGCCTAAATAAGTGATGTCCCCAAAGTCATAAAATCAAGAGCTCGAAGAGACTGGAACCCAGGTCTTCTGGTTCCCAATTATGCCCTTTCCATCACACAACACGCCGCCTGGGGTGAATGAGATGAAAAAATACCTGGGTTTGACTCACCTAATATGCTTACTACACAGATTTCTAATATAATTTCTCTCTATAAACACCTTATCACGTAAGTGCCCTTTATGCATACGGCCTCAATTTAGAGATGTCTCAAACTGACTCTAACGACAACAAAAAAAACCTACTAGTTATTTTTTCCTTTTGGTAAGATGTATAATGAATTCCAGACACTTCAGAAATTAGAGCTTCCCTTAAGATAAGAGATTTCATATGGTGCATTACAGTAACAGTACAATCTCACTGGCCCACCTCCAGCCTAAACTGTACAGTTAGAGCAAGGCTGTGGACCCATTCGTCAGCACTAGAAACTTCGCATCTCTTTTCCAGTCTCGAACTATACAATTCACAGGTGGTTGGTATGTTTACATCTCTCTTCGGGGTAAATACTAATAAAGGAATGTAATGAATGTAATGACACCGCAGTTGTTTTGCAGGGCTCAGTGCAGGGCCAGGGAAAGCCACAAGACGGAGAAGGTACCAGAGAAAACGACACGTTAGCTGGCCCCAGAGGGCCGGAGCAGCGGAGGGAACACCGGTCTCGGGAGGCTTCGCGCAAGAGGCCGGTGGCTGCTCTCTCCTTCGCCCACCCTCTCCATCCCCACGTGGGAGGCAGGAGGTGGGGGCCGCACAGGCGGGGCGGAGACCCGGGGGAGAATCCGAGCCTTGGCCTCGGTTCCCTCCCTCAACCGGTCGGGCGGGGGCGGCGACAGGGCTCCAAGGCCGCGGGAGGCCATTTTAGCTGCGGGGCCGCCGAAAACCACGGCGGCCCTCCACGTCCCCAAACCTCGGCCGACGCGGGCTCCCGCCCCACAGGGGCCGCTCCCCGCCGAGAGCCGGGCGGAGCGGGAGAGGCCGTGGGGCCGGGCCCGCGACGGGCCGGGGCGGCCGGGCAGGGGCCAGCGCGGGGGCGTCCACCCGCGGGATCCCGGCGGAGGAGCGAGCAGGGGGAGAGGAGAGAGGGCGGGAGCCGTTACCTATACTGGGCCGCAGCCGCCGCCGCCGCCGCCCCGCTGTGGGTGAATCCAAAGTAGTTGCCGGTCGCCATTTTGGCATCTTCCCCCAGCCGGCTGGGCACTGCGGCGGGCACGGAGAGTCGGGTCCCATGGCGGGAGGGGTCGCGCGGAGGGGCAGAGACGCCGAGGGAGGGAAAGGGAGAGAGAGAGGCCCGTGAGAAGCCGTCCTCGCCGGGCCGGGGCCGCGGTCGCGCCGCCTCCCCTCCCGCCTCGCACTCCCTCACTCACTCGCACGCCCGGGTGGCGGCCGCCGCCTCCTCCCCGGAGCCAGCCCCAACCCCCGCGCCTCCCCGCGGCCCCGGCCGGGAAAGGGGCTGGGCAAGGGCCTCGCCGGGGCACATTATACTCACCATAGGTGAAAGAAACTACAGGGCATATGGGAATCATGGGCTCGAGCTGCTGCGGCTGAACTCTGAACTCTCACCCACTGCCTCCCTCCTCTGCCCCGCTCCTCCTCAGCGGAGAACAGACCGCTGTCTCCCGCCGCACTGCGCAGGCGCCCCCGCGCGTGGCTCGCTGGGAGCTGTAGTCCCGCTGCCTTCGCGGCTCGGGCGGGCGCGTGCCGGGTCTGGGTGGCGGTGGGTGGCGGTGGGTGGCGGTGGGTGGCGGTGGGCTTGGGTAGGGCGCCCACTGTGTAGGCCAGCAGATCTCCCCCAGATGGCGGTGATTGCGATCCGCAAACCCAGGCTGTCGAGGAGCGTGCGAGAATCGCGTCGCCTGGCCGTGCGGGGAATGTGGGGGAGTGACCGGAGAAAGTGACGTCTGTTCGTTTTTTTCTGCTTACTTTTCACTCTTTTCTTTCACTTTTGCGTGTGCTTTGCGAGAAGAGGGGAGGAAAGAGAAAAAGGATGCAACCGTGCCATTCTGCTGGACTGGAAGCACACCCCAAACACCCCTTTTGGAACGCCTCTTTCCGCCCCCTCCCCCCCACGTGCACCCATTCCTTGAGTCATTCACCGCCTGTTGCACAACCCATACCCCCATCTCCCAAGTGTCAGGTTAGGTACTGGAAACAGGCAGTGAACAAAACGAGTTCCTGCTCACGTGGACTTCACCTTATGGGAAAGGGAAGAAGGTGTTAGACAATAGCCAAATAAATACTGTGTCGGTTGGTGATTGTGCTTTAAATATAAAGCAGGGTAAATAAGAAAGGGAGTAGAGGTACGTGCTATTTCAGTAGGGTGTGGATAGGGTGATCACTGGAGTATAGCCCTGAAGGAAATGAGGGACAAAAATACTTAAAATATTTATGTTAAAAAAAAAAACTAGTACAAGGAAGGAGAGCAAGTGAGGGGTCCTAAAGCAGGAGTGCTCAAGAGCAGCAAAGTTTGTGTGGTGAGAGGTGAGTGATAGGGTAGACCAGAAAGGTCCTTGGTAAAGGTGCCACGTCTTTCAAGGTAAGGACAAAAGGATACTCTCCCCCATGCAGGCATTTCTTTCTTCCCTCTGTTTCCTATTTTTTCCCTACTTTCTGGGTTCAATTTCAACCATTCTCTTTCCTCTTGTAGTCCCTCTTCTGACTTAGTTCTCCCACCTTACCTCTTTCCTGCCTTCCACCAATGCAGAAAGTGCTTCCTTTCATCTCTACTTCACCTTCTCTGTGCCCATCCCCAGACCCTCTGCTACTAATCTCTCCCCAGTGTTGGATATGAGCATTAAAAAATAATACAAAGTTTGAATCAGAGGTCACTTATGAAGTTCAGGGATTTATCACACCTTCTTATGTCAGAGCAGAAGTAATACCTCAATTGTTATTTGTGCCAACCCTGATCTCCCACACCACCTACGAAGGTACAGGTTTTTGCTCGCTTTAGAAAAAAGGAAACATAGAACATTTGAGAAAAATCAGTGTCATTATTTTTGAGAATACTGATGTTTCCTCAGGCAAAAGTTATTTCCTCAGGCAAAAAGTTATTGAGAATACTGATGTTTCCAATTGTGTTGTTTGGAATTAGACATATAGGCTATCAGAGCACACATAAGATATTAGAACTGTGTTTTAAAGGTGATTTGCATCGAATTTCATGGAGCAATCAAGCCTTCAAAGCACATACTGTAATTGCTTTGATAAGCTTGTGCTATTGGTTACTTAGGCTATTTGAATAAAACTGGAGGAGGAAAGACACAAGTGTTAATCACCTGCCCAAGAAAATTATTTTTAGGCCAATCTCATGCTTGGTTGCTTTGCAAACCTTTAGAAGAAGAAAAAGGGCTGCAGCACACCCCAATAAGCAAGCAGGTAACTAGAAAGAGGGAGGTGTGCCTCTTCTCTTTGTAACTGTTCTTAGAGGTCTGAGTAGGTGTGGCAGTAGTGGAAATTGTTTACAACAGTGCCTCTTATCAAAGAGGGAATATGTGAAGAAGGACTTCAACTTACCCCTGACTTGGGCTTCCTAAGGAGGGAGTTTGGGCATGGACTTCGAGGCAAAAAAATTGGGGTTCTTTTCCTGGGAATTTGGTAGCAGAATGAAATGAACACATTATTTAGCCTTTCCTAACCTGTATGACAAGAGTAACTATAACATCTCCCTTCAGGACCGTGGTAGGCGTTAACTGAGGTAACATTTCTATAAAACACAACCAAGCACAGGGTAGTTATGTAAAAAGAACTAGGCTGGATGATTGCAGATCTTTTTTAAAAAACCTACCTTCCAGTAAGTGTACTCTGCAGGTCACTCACCTAAAAACAAAAGGTAGGTGGCTCTGCCCTAGAAGGGTTTATGTCCCAGAGTGTACCTAGTCTAAGCAACACAACCATACAGTCTTCTGGACCCACAGAAGGTGAGAGACTTGATTGAAAGCCTCCAATTACAGTTATCTATCATCCTTCATGTCTGGAAATGGTTGGTATCCGAATTTAAAAAATATACTTTAACGGTCATTCTCCATTCTTCATCCAGAGTGATGGGTTCAAAATGCAAATCAAATTAAACTCTTCTGTACTCCCCCTCTAAGGACAAAGCAGAACTCTTCTATATGGCCTGCAAAGCCCTGAGTGGTCTGGTCTACCTGCATTTTCAGTTTCTTCTTTATTATCTCCATTCTAGTTACTCTGGCCTCTGATTTACCATGCTTCCTCACACCAAAGGACTTTGAATGTTCTCCCTGCCTAGAATGTTCTTCCTTCCTCTCTTCACCTAGTTAACCCTCTTGCTTCAAGATCTCCTCTCAGTCAACTCCTTGTCAGCCATCCTTGACACCCTTATGCTCTTGGAGCACCAGGCATCTCTCTTTAGCTGCCTTTGTCACAGTTGCAATTCTACACAAACGGTATGTTTGTTTGATTAATATGCACATCCCCCATCAAACTAAGACTTGATGAAGGCAGGGCCAATACTGGGGGCTTGGTGAAAGGCATCCAATAAATATGCACCAGGTAATGCACAGTTTCATCTTTCCTTGATGATTCAGAAGGCTGTTGAAGAACCTGTAGTGCCTTAGCATCTGAGGGCAAAAGAGGAAACGGTGATTGGCAGACCTGCTAACCACAAGGTGGAGCTAGCCTGAGAAGGCCTGAACTCCCAGGAAATATATCTAGTCGCCTGGCTTCACACCTTTTAGACAAGGCTTGGTATCCTGAAAGGCCCTGTTAAAATTCAAATGCCAGCCACAAAGAATAACATGTAAATTACTTGTACCAAGAGGAGTAGGCATGGTGAGTGAGAGCATGGACTCTGAAACCTAACCCACCTGGCTTCAAATCTCAGCTCTGTCACTCACTGCTGTGTGATCTCAGCCACAACCCCTCTATGCCTCCTTTTCCTCCTCTGTAAATAGAGATAATAAAAGTAGTATCTACAGCAGGGAATTGCTGGCAGGGCTTAATGGCTTCCTAAATGTGAAACTCCTAGATCACTCCTGGGATCATGTCAAACACAGTGAGTGTTGGCTTTTATTCTAATCACTGCCCTTGCCTAAAACAATTGAAAAATGAACCATAGGATGGGAATTTTTTTGCAGGGACAGTGAGAGATCAATCCTTTGAGGACATAAATGGGAGGTGCCTGGAAGAAAACAAAATCTCTGACTAGGAAAGATATATGTACCCCTATGTTTACTGCTGCATTATTTACAACAGCCAAGATATGGAAGCAACCTAAGTGTCCACCAGTAGATGAATGGATAAATAAGAAGTGGTACGTATATGTGGTGGAATACAATTCAGCCATAAAAAATAGAAATATTGCCATTTTCAACAACATGGATGGATCTAGAGGGTATTATGTTTAGTGAAATAATCCAGGCAGACAAAGACAAACACCGTATGATTTCACTTATTTGTGCCATTTAAAAACAAGGCAAACAGAATGAACAAAACAGCATTAGACTCACAGACACTGAGAAGTAATTAGTGGTTACCATGGGTGGGTAGGTGGAGAGAGTTAGGAGATAAAGAGGCACAAAAATTCTCAATCATAAGTTGGTCACAGGAGACTAGAGTCAGTGATTCTATATCAATATGATTCTATGTGTCAACATCTTCCTATATTGACAGATAGTAACTGTATTAGTGGGGGTAAGAATTTAATAATATGGGTGACTTATAGAACCACTGTGCTGTATCCTTGAAACCAATATAAGATTGTATAGCAATAATACCTCAATTAAAAAAAAGACTGTGAAAAAACAATGGGAGGACAAATCACAGATTAAAGATGGTGGCATGAAAGGTGAGACAGAGGCTTCATCCTAAAACCGCATATAATATGAAAATATAATTAATACAACTAATCTTGAAAGAGCAACAGGAAAGAGGGCTGTGCCAGACTGCATAAACCTGGAGAAAAGAATAAACTCATGGAACACGAACACCGCTCCCCTGGATTCCCAGACATTGCTCCAGGGGTTGAGCAGCTCCAGAGAGCAGAGCTTCTGGGCACTATAGGGTGCCACATACAAATATGAAACATCAAAGGAACCTGGTTCAAAGCAAAATTATGAATACACCAGAGAGAGATTCAAGTGAAATTGACCTCATGAATCTTCCTGAAAGAGATTTCAAAATAAAAATCATTAACATGCTCATGGAGGTACAGAAAAATATTCAAGAACTCAGGAATGAATTCCAGTCAGAGATCCAATCATTATGGGACACAGTATCAGAAATGAAACATACAATGGAAGGTTTTAAAAGCAGATCAGATATGGTGGAGGAGATGATAAATGAAATAGAATTTAGAGAAGAGGAATACAAAGTAGCTGAGGCACAGAGAGTAAAAAGGATCTCTAAGAATGAAAGAATATTGAGAGAACTGTGTGACCAATGAAAATGAAACAATATTCACATTATAGAGGTACCAGAAGAAGAAGAGAGAGAAAAAGGGATAGAACATGTCTTTGAGGAGGTAATTGCTGAAGACTTCCCCAATCTGGGGAAAGAAATAGTCTCACAGGCCATGGAAGTCCACAGATCTCCCAACACAAGGGACCCAAGGAAGACAACACCAAGACACATAGTACTTAAAATGGAAAAGATCAAGGATAAGGACAGGCTATAAGA